CAGCTTTGCTTTGTTAGGCAATTAGCTTGTCGGTTCCATGTTGGGGATGTATCAGGGGTTAATCGTGGTTGATCGGGTGTGAATCGTGGTATTACGGGGATGACACGTGGCCGTTTCTGCCTCTCAGTAGTGGTACGACTCGTTCACGCTTCGCCTACGGTTAAGTCGATTTGCTCACGATGCTTGCTGATGCATTCCCGACACACTGGCGACTATCCCGATCAGTTACGCACAACTTACGACTTTTTTTTTCAATCGGCTCATGGTTTTTTAACCTACCATCTATGCAGACACACTCGCGTATCTTGCTGATCTCTGCCGACTACTCCAGGTATATTTTCGACATTATACGATCGCTGGCGATTTTGAAAAAAAACCTGTGAGGAGTTAGTTCCCTTGGGCTGAAGAAAGGGGTGTAAAAATATATGCAAGTGCAAATAGTCCTCATTTAAATGCACAGGAGTGTTGATGTGACGGCCAGTGTTCATAAAACTGACTCGCCTTTATTTTCAAGACATTTAACCACAATGTGTGAGTCGTTATTTTGAGAGGTTAAAAAATCCCTTTAGTACACTGATAGCCAAAAACAGTAGCTAGAAGAAGCAAAGTAGTATATCTGCGCATGCCCGTGAATATCCGAGTTATTAGTTATTATTGGTCTTCAGTAACCCATGCTTGTCGTAAGAGGCGACTAACGGGATTGGGGAGTCATCCTCACCGACTTGGTCGACACATGTCATCGTATCCCAGTTGCGTAGATCGATGTTCATGCTGTTGATCATTGGATTGTCTGGTCCAGATTGGTTTATGTACAGACCGCCGCCATTTAAAAGGAATATTGCAGAGTGCGGCTTTAAACAACAAACAAAACTTTCTGCGCATGGGCCAAATGAAATTATTTTGAGTGCCTCCATATCTGAAAATGTTCACTATGCATCCGTCAATAAATCTGCAACGTTTATGTTTTTATCATTTAATGCACATTATTTCGGCTGATCCGCTCCACTAGATTGGAAAGAACCAACGAAGCTCACTGATACGATCAATTCACAAATACATTATTTAATCAGCAGCAGCAACATCATCCCGTTTGAAACCTGTTGCTAAACACAGGACTAATAAACGAATGGGAAAAAAATACTCGGAATATCAATTGATTATTGATAACCAAATATGAGGCTTTGTCAGAACTGCTCACATATGGCAAATTATTTCCGTGCGAACTGTTGACATGTCATTGAAGGCTACTGCGAGAGATAATGGTTGTCATCCCTCGACTATCAGCAAATTGGCAAGAGAACTAGCATCAGCAAACAAATGACCTGAAGGACTGAATATTCAAAGTTTAGATTTACCATTTAAATATTAAGGCGGGTCAATTTATCTAGATAGCAAGTAAAATTGAGGTATGGATAAGTTACTGGTTAGTGGTAACACATTGAGACTATGAGAAACATGATATGTTGAGATACTTTTTTCCATGCATGCACTAATGAAAAATGATGCCAAGCATTGAGCCATTTGAACCTTACTGGGTACACCCAGCATGAAAATGGTTACAATATCACTGTAATTTGGTTTAATGGGGAACATTAATCTGCTTAAAAGACTTAGTCTTAATGTCGCACAGTATTTTCAATATGACAATCACACAAACCAGATTACTTTTCAGATCTTACAAAATGTGGGCCAGAAAAAACCCACCTCGGCATCCTGGGGGTTAATGATGGTAGGGTATGTGTGGAGCAACATTGGTGAGGATATTAAAACTGTACCATTGCGTTACACCATCGTTTTGGAGCGGGAGTTTGATGGCAATGGCCGGGATCCAGATATACATCGAACTGACCTTGTCGTCATAAGAAATGCCATGATAGGCATACGTTATTTAATCGTCACAGCAGTCGTCCATCCTCTGGTACAACAACGCGAGGGTTGGATCTCCCACACGCATGCACACTTACACACACCTGGATCCATCCCTGAACGTGATCCCAACACAAAGTAGGTTTTTTAGGTACCGGCCATAATTATGTTGTATACTACCGACAATAAGTATGGGAACACCCAAATATCAAAGTATAACAAAGTAAATTTAAAGTGGCAGTGTCGGTTTATTACAAGGGTAAATAAAACATTATTTGTTCTTAAGATGTAATGGATTTATGGTTTTGTGAATGGAGTGGTTACCTTAGTTAACTACTAGAATTGATAATACTGGTAATGTAATGATGGAGATATAGGTTAAGGACTTGCTGTAAGTCTTTTGGATACATTGAAGTCAACTTTGGTTTGTATTCAGGATGGTGCTTTGCAATGTTCTGGAATTGCTTGAAGGTATATGTTGAAACATTATGTTCCTGACAAGTGTTAACTATGATATGATGGAATTTGGTACATATCCTAAAGGTCAGGTATTGAATCAAGCTTTTGTTCAAGCTGTAGAGCATTGGAATGGTTACTTTTATTTTTAAGGTAGTTTTGCATCTTTGTGTTGAGAACCACCTCCCTGTTCTAATGGGTAGATCGTCAGTGGTGGAAGTTCAGTGGTTCGATCCCCCCTAGCCATGTCTCACCATGAAGACATGAAAAGATGGTACTTGTTGTTACCCTGGTTGGCACTCCTCAACTTTATTGTATATAATAACAATAAGTTCAACAAAAAATCAAATTCATGGAAAAATTTACTAATATTTATTTATTTATATGTATGTATATGGATATTTATATAGCGCTATACATAGTCCATCCCATCTACATGCATGCTGAAAGCACTGTTTTTTTCACCTCGATCATTGAATGTCAATCTCAAAGGTACATCATATTTTCAATTTCAACTCCCTGAGGATCATTTAACTCGAGCAGCCACTAGGCGCACCAAGTTAAGTTAATGTGGCTTTCCCATCCTTACGAGGTACCCATTCATAGCTGGGTGGACTGGGACACAGTCACAGTACTTTGTCCAAGCTTACTGCACGTTGCTGTGCCCGCACCTAGGTGTTTGCACATATTCATGTGGCCACCATCTGGTCATTAACCAACGGATTTGTGGATTCTTTTTAGTGCACAGGGTTGTGTACTGTGCACTAGGGGTTGTGACAACACTGAAAGAGTCTGCACACAAACTTGACTCCAAGGTTTTTACACAATTTGACAATTTCCTTTTACTTATTTTGAAAGACCAAATCTTCAAATATACTCATGCCAATAATGGGTGTCATCCCCCTCCCCACCCCAACCCCACACACACCTAACACCCCCTCTTCAATTAAAAAAATTGAAGGGGGTGACAACCATTATTGGCATGAGTATAGTTCAAATATGCACAAAATGTTCTTTAGATTTTAATTATTATGTAAATGTTCCAATTGTTCAAGCCACATCACATGTCTCTTGATGAAGCTGAAGACACTGCAGCATGATTGTACAACCAGTTTTCCCCATCCCATTTGTATGTCCGGAGGAATTTGCAAATAACAACTGAAACACACACTATAAATAAAAGCAGTAACTTTTATAAATGTAGTAACAATGCCTTGACAAAATTAAATTGATGGAAATATTTACTGACAATAGATCATTTCATTTTGCTTGTTTCGGGAGACTAAGTCTTCAAATAGTCCAAATAGGCACAAAGTGTTCTTTAAATTTTCACAATTTTGTAAATATTCAAATTGTTTAAGTCACATCACATGTCCATCTAGTACAGAGTGAACAGTCCCTTGATGAAGCTGAAGACACTGCAGCAGCATGCTGTCTCAAATGACTGTGGCTGACTTGGTTCTTCCAGGTGGCTCACATCAATCAGGACATAGGATTCTGTTTTCACAGGCTGTACTGTAAATGGTGATGTGGGATTTCCCAAGTCTATCTCAGGTATGTCCTGCTCCAAGTTCATGGAGGAAAGTATCGCACATGGTTTTGTGGGATCTCCCAAGTCTATCTCAAGGATGTCCTGCTCCAAGTTCATGGAGGAACCATACAATGACCCAAGGGCAGGGTTAGGGAGAAGGGTCTGGGTGATGGGTGGGGATACCACAGCAGTTGACAGCTTAGAGGGGAAAGGAAGGCAGTGTAATGAGGACAGAAGATGTGTAAAAAATAGCTAATTTAATAATCTTTCTTCCCTATTAAAATGGCATAGTGTGTGATTGTTTCCAGAAGGTACATGTCAAAGTTGTCTACTTCTTCTAATCAGTAATCTTGATTACTGTTTTCTTTTAATTATATTTAAATCTAATGAATGGTTTACACCTAAAATTGCGACAAAAAACTCCAAATCACAACCGTCTGTTTTATATCATGGGGAGAGGTCAAGAAAATCCCTAGATGACCTACTGGGATAGGGACAGGATGGTCGGAGGGGTAGGCAGCAATGGTAGGACGCTGAGACTTTCTCAACTCTTCCCGAGCTGCCGAGGGAAATGATGAATAAATCTATTTAAAACGTATTCAAAATTGATGCTAGATAGGGAAATGGATCTAAGACTTAAAATAAAAAATATGAATTATCATTATTTCCAACCTCCGCAGTTGGGTCCTGTGTTTTCAACTTATAAAATCAGACTGCCGTGTTCTTTACGTGGAAATAAGTCCACATTATCGGTAAGATTACAGAATACCGGATACCTTCCGCCATCTTTGAAAGCACGCGAGTTTACTTTTGGTTAGGGTTAGGGTTAGGGTAAGGTTTAGGGTTAGGGTAAGGTTTAGGGTTAGGGTAAGGTTTTGGGTAAGGTTTAGGGTTAGGGTGATATCACACTAAACAATATGGCTGGTAGGTATCCGGTATTCTGTAAGTGTACCACATTATCTTATATACATGTATTATAAATGATTCGCATAAAGATTTGAGGGTCTCATGAAAATCGTGTTTACTCGTTAGCTAACTACTGAGGTTTGTTGATCGAACGCCATTAGGCAGACATGCGGCCAAAGTTAGACTTACTGATAGTATACCGAAATCAAAACCAAATTTAACTTAAAAGACCTAAATAATGTACCTTGATGGTAAACACTTGCAACACTCGTGAACATGGTGCAAAGTTGGTCACAAGTGTCAATCAAATCGTAAAATGACAGCAGAGACTTGGATTTTGCAACACAGATGCTAAACAACAATGGCGTCGTTTGCGGAGAACAGTCACCATGGAGATGTTCTCGCGAGATCACAACGGGTGTTTTCAGGTGAACTGGCAACGGGGATGTGTTGCGTGAAGAACGTTATCCAGTCTGCTTCTTATCACAGATGTCCTTCCTCTTAAACCCTCACTTTGAAGTCGAATAAAATTCAACATACATCACGCACACAAACAGATATTACAGTTTGAATTCTCCAGGCCATCTTCCTGTTTCTTGATACCATCCACTATCATCTTAGGCAAAGCAAACGTGCTGAAAATGAAATTTCACAATTTGCTGTATCGTAAACATTACGAAATCGCGATTCACGGCCTTATTTGGTTATGTTTTGAAATGAAAACATCGGCTGATTACTCAAAGTAAGGATAACATCAAATCACCGGTGAAACGTCGCCGATAAACCTAGAATCGGTTGGGATACTTTGAAAAATACACAAACACGAACGCCGAAGTGAGCTCTCGGCCATATAATTTGGATAGTGTTTACAAACGCACGTTTCGCGAAGGCCGGTAATGGGACGCCTATTACATTACACACATTTCACACTGAGCTGCGACAAATACATCACTGAATACCTCATTCGGTTTAGAATCAAACAGCAAATGATATGTGCCACCAAAGCCAAGTATCTAGATCATATACTAGATGAAATAAAACGAAACATATTGGGTGTGAAAACAAACGTCGAGCTCTAAAAAAACATCAGATTTTGCTCTGTGTAGCATTTTCTCAAATTTTCAGACTTCCATACGTCTATTCGTAGCATGAATAGGCTCAATACTTTTGGAATATGCATGGAAAGAGTATCGTAGCAAGAAAAAATAAATGAAAAATAATCACAATACAATGATTCCATAAATTGCTAACAAATTGTCAAATTTTCCGCGTAACGTGAGGCCATAACTGACGCAAAATTACACAGAACGACAACGGTAATATTATCGACATTTCTGACTTCTTCTCTAACTTACAATGAAAACAATAAAAACAAATAACAGCACGCAGATAGTCAGAATGTTTCTGATTACTTGCATGACATATTTATGTACAAAAGATCCCTGAATCGAGGGAAGGTCTCCCAAAAAATCCTGCGTACCAATGTCAGCGAACCCGCCATTTTGTAAATAAATCGGTCACCGCTTGTGAGGTCAACATTGTATTTCTTTAAGGTGAAGGTCGGTTGAATGGTGTCGCTTACAGGTTCAATATCATGATGCATATTTTGCGTATCTGTTTATTTGTTCAGAAAACTAACTTAAGTTTGCTTTGTACAATATCATACGTAGATGGTGGATGTAAGTTTTTTTTATCCTTTGAGTGAGTGAGTGGGTATGGTTTCAAAGGCGGATCCAGGAATTTTCAATAGACCATTCTTAGCCAATATGCATGACCTCGAGGTCAAATCGATAGAGGCTTAAATAGGTTGACACAACCTTGAAAATGGCGACCTCGAAAAGGAAAGATTACTGCTGTGTGCCTTTGCGTTGGAGTGATGCCCGTAAGGATTTTACGGTATCTTTTCACCATATTCCCAAGAATAAGATCAGAAGAAGGCAGTGGTTGACGAAAATACGGAGAGATCCTGGAAAATGATTCATAGTAAGTACAAAATAATTACGGCACATGGCATAGTCTAGATCTGCCGTGTAATGCACAAACTGTTCACTATGCAAGGTTTTAATATTAGGGGCACATGTACAATGTGAATGTCACACACACACACAGACACATTCAAACCCCACCCACCCACCCCCACACACACACATTGTCATGTTCAAAATCAGTGATCACCCCCCTAGTTCATATGTACACAATTGGCCCCTCCCCCTGCCTCCCGAAACAAACTGGGAGACACCCCAACCCCCACAAACACCGCACCTAAAATCATCATCACCTCCCCTAGTCATAAATTATGAACGGTCCATTATATTAATTTTTTTTAAGCATATGGACATATGGAGACACTTGTCATGATGGCAAGGGAATTTTATTTGCAAATATTCTGTATCAGTGAAATTAGATTGGCTGCAAATCAAAGTAACATTTCAAGTACATGTATATGCAGGACACACACATGCTGTTAAAAAATCTTAAATATGTACTTTCAAAATGACTGCATACTGACCAGTATGCCTTGGTATACACTTTAAATAGAACTGTACCCATAACCGACCCCTGTGGCACACCGCTTGAAAAGTTCACTGGAGCTGAACATACACCATCGATATACACCGACTGATACCGATGCGACAGATAGGATTCGAACCAGGACCATACATACCATTGAGAAAGAGGTCATTCTTGAGGTGCCTGCGTTGCATCTAGTGGTCTATGGTATCAAACGCCGCGCTCAAATCTAACAACGCCAGGAGCGCAATGTCAATACCACATCTAAGAATGTTGAGGACTTTCAATAGGGCTGTCTCCGTACTGTGTTTAGGGCGGTATGCAGATTGGAAAGGCTCGTACAAATCACACGAGAGGATAACAGACGTATTCCTTGTTCCTGACAAGAACAGTATAGGAACAAGAGCTTTTCTTGAAATGCTTTCTTTGTAAGAAATATGTAGATATTATAATCCATAAGGATGAATTGTTGATAACAGTTTGATGTTCAGAATGTTTATATTTGAATAGATTTGATGATTCTCATATGGTGATGTTCTATCACTCATTATGATAGCTGATGGGTGTACTGCAGTCTGGAAACCAATGGAAAAGCGTTACTAGTATGCTTTAGGGTTGAGATGAGTTTCAGAAAAAGAAAATACATCGTTTTAAAACACAATATTCCTCTCCAAAGTTCACAAGAAGCATGTGCAATGGATACATACTTCTTGTTTTGTATCGTTGTCATAATTATTGCGTTATTTTATGGTCGTTTTGCGACTTAGGTCATTCTGCCAGAAAACGGATATTCAATAATCAGTTTTTCTTCCATAATTCTGAATATGTTTGATGAAACAACGTCAAAGTAAAGCATGATGCATTTTATCCCACAACGCAAGTCTAACAAAGAGTACAAAGCCTTTTCCCCAGTAGTTTTCAAGATACTAGTTTTTCGCCTCTCCTGAAAACCTACAAAAAATGACTTAGGTCGTTCTGCTTCTCAACCCTTCATATGTCAGATGCACAAATCTTCAATGCTTCGGAGTTGAAGGAGTGTATAGACGATGGCAGCATATGAACCATTGTCAAATGATGATCTGGATATGCCTTACTTCATACTTGCATACTTCGTCAATATCTAATGAAACCCTACCCAAGAAGAGGTCCGTCAGAAACTGAACTGATTGCCAACTACAATATATCCAGAGCAAGGAGAGTCGTGGAGAATGCAAACCGATGGCAATTTCTACTCAACACTGCGCAACAGGGTCCAGATGTGGCTAGGATTATGGTTGAAGCTGCCGTGTGCATCCTGGCTGTCATCTGGTGGTGGGCTGTTCTCTTTGTTCTTGCCGTGTTTCCATTACAGCAGTTGAAATTGGAGTGACGTTGACTTCGATCGACGGTGCTTTTATACCTTTTTCTGTCAGTCTGATGTGGGTCGTGCAAATCGTGAGTAAAGCGTGAACATTACGTAAGTGGATCGTGTCTTATTTGGGAGGAATTGTGCTGATGCGTGGCTTTGACAGCTCTGCTTTGTTAGGCAATTATCTTGTCGGTTCCATGTTGGGGATGTATCAGAAGTTAATCGTGGTTGATCGGGTGTGAATCGTGGTATTACGGGGATGACACGTGGCCGTTTCTGCCTCTCAGTAGTGGTACGACTCGTTCACACTTCGCCTACGGTTAAGTCGATTTGCTCACGATGCTTGATGATGCATTCCCGACACACTGGCGACTATCCCGATCAGTTACGCACAACTTACGACTTTTTTTTTCAATCGGCTCATGGTTTTTTAACCTCCAGACTATGCAGACACACTCGCGTATCTTGCTGATCTCTGCCGACTACTCCAGGTATATTTCCAACATTATACGATTGCTGGCGATTTAAAAAAAAAATCCTGCCAGGAGTTAGTCCCCTTGGACTGAAGAAAGGGGTGTAAAAAATATAATGCAAGTGCAAATAGTCCTCATTTAAATGCACAGGATCCGGTTGTATCATTGCTTCATTAACTAATGTCAACATTAAACCCTAATCATACATTAAATCCTTAATGCATCATTAGTTAATGGCATCATTAAAAACGGTTTTATCAAACACTTATTAGCGTATCATTATCTAATGACGTCCTAATGTAAATATTTTCATTAAATCCGGGGATTCCCCAAATTTCTTCCCACAATTCCACGCTGTTAACATGTAATAGTATAGGGCTAAACCCCTCGGAACAAAAAACAAACATTTCGACTGCTGTGAAGAAACACATCTAAATAATTCTGAAACGTCGCCGATAAACCTAGAATCAGTTGGGATGTTTTGGAAAATACACGAACACGAACGCCGAAGTGAGCTTTCCGTCATATTGGATAGTGTTTACAAAATCAAGTTTCGCTAAGGCCAGTCATAGGACGCCTATTAAATCATGTATATTTCATATTCAGTTGTGACAAATGCATCGCTGAATTCCTCATACATTTTAGAATCAAATTCCAAATGGTCTTTGTCACTAAAACCAAGTGTCTAAGAAAAAACGAAACATATTTGGTGTGAAAACGGGACGTTGTGCTCATTACACAGCGCTGGCTAGAAATATAAACAAAGCAAAATCAGATTTTATACTGTGCAGCATTTTCTCAATTTTTTTAGACATCAGTTCGTCTATTCGTAGCATGCATGAGCTCAATATTTTTAGAATATGCAGGGAAAGAGTATCGTAGCAAGAACTAGAAAACTTAAAACAGATACAATACTGAA